ACAGTCAATAATATTATAACAACTATGTATGGTGCCCGGCTGGTACAAGTTACAGGGATCACTTCTTTAATTATATAAATGTCTAACCACTATCTTGTACACCTGAAACTAATGCAAAACAATTTTGAATGTCAACTGTAATTGAAAAAGAAATGAAGGTAGAAGGGAAAAGATAAATAAATAAATAAATAAAGACCTCATCTATTATTAAAAATATAAGAATCTATAGAAACTTTGACATAGCCAGCTCTAATGTCCCACTCTAAGGGAACAAAAGAATTAATGCTTATGTTCTTGTTCATGTGACTTATATTATGAATAAAGATAATTTCATTAAATTCCAGAGAAATTTTTTTTACTTGAACATAATTTAAAGGGCAAGAATATTTTTTTGACAAAAAGTATTTAAAAATCCAAATAATTTATGTGCATTGACAAAGCCACATGATCACAATAGTATAAGTACTCTGACAATCCATATGAATGCAAATACTTCCTCTAAAATTATAATTATTATTTACACATCTAACAAATATTTAATAAACACCTGCTGTTAGACTGTGTTTTGGGTGCTGGGGTTACAAAAGTGAGCATATGAAATTTTGTTGTAATTTGTAGTATTGTCTGGAAGACAGACATTAATCAAATACTACGACTAATGAGTTTATAACTACAAAATGAAATAAAGTACGCCACAAAAAAAAAATGCAGTTTTATGAGTGTATTTAAGAAAGGAAGTTGGGGCAGACCCGAGGTGAGTAGGTCTAAGCTGAGCAAAGGGGACACGGAGAAACAGCACGGTGGTGGAAAGCACCCATGCCAAGAGGTGAAGTGTCAGACATGAAAAGTGGCCTCTGTGTACGTGCGATGAGGCTGGCTGGACAGTCAGGTAGGGACTGAACTACATTGCTGCCTAGGAGTCCTGCTGAAGATTTTAGTCTTAATCCTAAAATGACTAAATAATTTCCATGGATCAGATTTGCAACTTGAAAGTACCAGTGTGGAGAAAGAGAGGGTGAAGTGCTGAGTGGATGCAGGACCAGTCAGCAGTCAACGCAATAGTTCAGTTGAGTGGAGATGACAGTGTGGACTAGAGCAATACAGGAGGGGATGGTCAAAAGCCAAACGATGTGATGGCCTCCCAGAAGAAAAAAATTATCAGATTTTTTGAAGACATTGCCATGAGAAGAAAGGGCTACAGAAAGAGCGGTCAAGGTGACTCCAGCATTTCCGGCATGTGCCATCTTTCCTGAGACAGAAAACAGGGAATGGCCGAGAAAAGACTATGTATTTTATTTTGGACATGTTGAGTTTGAGGTTCCTTTGGAACATCCAAGTGGAAACAATGCATAAGGAGTTGAACACACTAAATACACTAGAGTCCAGGGAAAAGATCTGGACTGGAGGTATACATTTGGAAAGAGGCACAAAGTTTGTAATTGAAGTTATAGGTGCGGATGGCATTGGCGAGGGAAAGAAAAGGCAGTGAGATTTCCACTGATGCTTTATCACTCTAGCTGTCATGTGGAGAGTCTGGTCCATTGTGTTCTCTTCCAGTAATCCTTTTTCTGCACTTTCCCTTTCTGAGTTCTCTGAATTACAGAATTTATGTGGAAAAGAATCTTACAGGTCATTAGGTTTAACCTCCAAATTTTGGAGGTGAAGAAACTATAGCTGTCTTCCTAAGGCCATGCAAGTCCTTGGAGGTAAAACCAGGACAAAAGCTCAGGTCCTTTTGACAAGTGCTCCGAAGAGCTTCCATTTGGCAGGCGGGGGTGGTGGAGACAAATGTAAGTGTCCCTGGTACTCAGAATCTTTCAGGTTCTGAATATACATCTGTCCTAATGAAACAACACAGGCACATGCAAAAGACAGCACTTAGGGGGGCAACCCATGGTGGTGGGGAAAAGGGAATGTGATCTTGAATTGGACCGATTTGGTTTGAATATTAGTGAGCTGTGCAACATTGAGCCAAAATTTTGAACTCTCTGACCCTCCATTTCCTTCTCTATAAAATAGACATAAACAATAATTACCTTGCAGTGTTGTAAGAAATAAAACTAATATTTTAAAAGCCAATAACTACATAGTAGGCTCCCAAATTACTAATATTTTCCTCCAAAGTAAAAAAAGATGTCATATATAATACACAATTGTTATTCTAATTGTTATATATAAGCAATGTTATTTTAATATATAAAATAAAAATAACAAACCCTTTTTAAAAATACATCTGTTATTAAAAAGAAAATTCCAATGACTGATTCCAAACTCTTGAAACATTAAATATTGAAGAAGCAATTTTTTTTTCTCTAATCAGGATTTAAAGCCTATTTATTTTGGGTTTATATGCTTAAACCCTTTACAGCATCCATGATTGTGAATAAAAAAATCTATATCCAAATAATATTCAATGTTATTGCAATGTATTTTCTAGAAATAAATCACCAATGCCCCCCCCATTTTAACATCTTGTTAAGCAACTGAAAACCTCTGTTATCAGTTTTAATTCATTCAAATAAGCATGTAGCTAAGATAAATGTTATAGTTGTAAAATAATATCAGAGATTGATCAAATGCCATGAAAAATGGAAAATAAATATTTTCTCTTTTATTCATAAACTTGTGTGTTCCATCTGAACTTGGATCTGTATTCTGCTTCCATTTAGGGCTTAAATACAAAGGATTTTCAACTGATACAAAAGTGTCTTAGTGTGCTTTACCAAAGGTTTTCAGATGAAAGATGAATAAACATTGTAAGATACAGGATATGAATTCTAGAGCAACAGTGCTTATGTAGGAATAAGACTTGTAGGTTTGTTTCATTCAGAGAAAATCTTCAGCAAAATCTGCAAATATTATATTTTTAGCCTTATAGTTATGTTTTTCCAATTCGAGGATATGATTGCATAAAAACTGCACGAACACTTTTATGAAAATCTCATGCAGTAATGTTTGAACTTCATCTTTCATTTTATATTGTGATGGAGAGCTTCAGTTCAAAGGCAAGCTATAGCTCCCCTTGAAAGGTGAGGTTCCTGGGGAAAATGACCCCTTAACACACAGCAGACACTTCTCAGATTCTTCCAGATTTATTCCTTATCTACTCCAAAACATGACTTGAAGCAATTTATACTATTATCTTTCCTCTCTCTCCCTCCCTCCTTTTCTCTCTCTCTCTGTCTCTCTCTCTCTCCCTCTCTCTCTCTCTCTCTCCTCTCCCCTCCTCCTACACACCAAATTAAAACAACAACAGCAATAAAAGACAGACAAAAAAAAACCAAGTAGAAGAAAAAGGAAGGTACATATGTCAGGGATGAGTCAGGTGAGAAAATACAAATGAAATGTTAAATTTAGCACTGAACTTCCTAGAAACTAGAGAAAACAGGAAAAGGAAAATACAGGTTGCACATATCTAATTGTTTTTAAAAAGGAAAAAGTCAAGTTTATCTTCAAAGACAAAAGTTTCTTAGTATTCTATTATAGGACAAATGCATTTCATGGATGCTGTCATAAGCAATTCAGAGAACAGGAAGTAAATATCCTTGATGGAAACTTTGCAAAAGGTGTAAAAAAAAAAAAGTCTGTAAATAATCATGTCTCTGCCTGCTCTGCAGGCTTCTTTGTCATTCTACCCAAACCTCATAGCGTTATTTCTTTTGGAAGGTAAGGACAAGGAATTCGGGTTCTTGGTTGAAGGTCTGATTATAATGTGAAATTGTTTGAACAGCTCTGCTACCACAGCTGACATTTTTAACCTCTACAAACAGAACTCACCTCCCGGCCCTAAGATCTGGTTATTTGTACTCTGGTCCTAATTATTACCCTCTCACCAAGGCGGAAGGCTCCCTGATCACTGGTTTTCTTCTGGTCCTTGTTCATGAGGAAGCATCGCCACTCTGTTCATGAATCCTGTCACCCACAGCCCCTCCATGTGCTCGGCACCAGGCTCCTTACTCCCGTCACTTGTCACTTGCTGACGAGGCTTTGGTTTGTCTTTCCTCACCTCTTCTCTTAGCCTTGCTAGCCCAGGCCCCAGCATCCCTGAGTCCCCAGCATGGCCCTTCACTGCCTCATGGAGCCCAGGAACAGCTTTCTAACTTATTATGCATTCATTCCCTCTTGGGCTTCTCTAGTCACTGCCAATCAAGCTTGTGGGCTTTTCCTATATCTAATAACGATTCCTTTATCTTACAGTCACCCAATTAAAAAATAAACACCAAAAACTGTTGTGTCATATCCTCTTTCATCTTCATATGCAGTCATGCACAAATCCTCATGCTTTTTCCTCTCTATTCCTTCCTACCACATATCAGAATCTTGGCATGCAAACTATTCCTGCAAGAGCCTTATATCTATGGCAGAGACAATGGCCTTCCTTGAATACCAGTTTAGCCTGAACACTTTCATCATAACATTCTCTGTAAAAAGTTTTAAATGTCTCCATAGTCCCCCATGTATCAGAATTAGATTCTTTTGGTTGGCTATCAAAGACCCTCATAATCTAACTCAACTGTATTCGTCCCTGTCTATCTACCCTGTTTTCTGCAGTTTGGTTACTCCCAGTTCTGCACTCACAGCTGATGGCGGTAATGATCTTGAAGCTGATATGACCCCTCCTTTTTCAAACTCAGCTCATCACAGATTTTTCAGGAACCTTTTTCTGACTCCTCATTGATTCTTTTCACCCTCCTAACTTCTATATATTGTCTACATGACATTGCTTCATACATTTTTATTTTCATATTGTTTTCTGTTGTTTCACATTTTGTTCATTATGTCTTTGAAACTAGTTGAGAGTTGGGTCAAGATTTTTGCTTTTTTGCTTTGTTTTACTATCATGTCAAGTGTCCAACATGATGTTGAATTAGGCATAGGCATTTTATAAGTAGTTATTGAAGAATGAGTTAGAGGGTTTCATGGTGAACAGTTAGAATAAATTTTAAATAGTTCTACGAAAAACGCTGGACAAAATAGAGCTATACTGAATGCAAACTTACCAGAGAAGACGCTAGGTATCTTGGAGAGAAAGCTTTTGACAGTACGAATAGGAATTCCATTTTTTTCATCTTGCATGCGTGCTATGACGTCTTCCATCTAAATAACAACAACATAATTAAAACCTTTCAAACGTTGAACTTTTGAGAAAAATCAGTTCTCATAACAATTGTGTATACCAGTTTTGCCCAACTAAGAATAATGTCATATTTTTGCCTTGCTAGACTTTGTCACATTAATATGTTCAGTTTGGTTAAAAGAAGATGGAGAAAACAGCAAGAAAAGTGGCCATTTTGGGGTCCAGTAAGTTACTAACATAAACTTTGTGCTTTCATTAATACCTTTCTTGGGCCAGCCGAGTGGCGCGTTGGTTAAGAGCTGGCTTGGGACGCTAGAGGACCCCAGTTCGGATCCCACATATGAGGGCCAGTGACATTGCCCTCCACAGCTAAGATGCTGAACAACAGCTCAACTTGGAGCTGGGCTGCCATGAGTCGCTGGAGACAGCGTAGGCTGTAGCCCCTGCTGCAGTGGGTTGCCATGGGCTACTGTGTGTAGCCAGCAGCCAGCGTGAGCAGCCAGCAGCTGCCGTGAGCGGCCGTCCAGAAGCTGGAGACTGATCTACCTCTCCAGAGAAGAGCGCAATGATGGTGCCAACTTGGGCCAGTGAAGCGACGTCCTCCACAACTAGACTGAAGAACAAAACGACAGCAACTTGTCTGTTCCCCTTCCCCCAATTCCCCAGTGCTGTTCCCATCCCCCAATTCCCCAATTTAATAATAATAATAATAATAATAATAATAATAATAATACCTTTCTTCTAGTTTTACATTCTTTGATTATAAAGTTTGAGCTAAAACAGTGCTTATTTCTGAAGTGTCAGAAATCATTGTCACAGCAAAATTCATACTTCATTAATATTATTATCTCTACTGAACTTATCAATAAGTTCAAGAAAGAAAATAGAAACCCTAAAAACATCTGTTTGGATTTTCTCTTCAAGCAAGAGAGTGTCTATGTTTTGGTTTAGGATAAGCTTCTAAAACCTGCTTAGCAATACAAGACTGATGGCTAGCAACTGCTGCTTCTCTTCTCCAGACATTTACTGAAGTGTGATATGAAATACACACACACACACAGGCACACAGACACACACACACACAGATACAGAGATGCGCACACACACAGAGACACACACACACAGACACACATGCACACAGACACACACACACACACATACACACACACACAAACACACACACAGAGACACATACACATGCACACAGACACACACACACACATACACACATAAAAATGAATGTAACACCATAGCCTTCGGCCCATTTATCAAATTCCATTGTATATATTTTTCTTTCAATCTAATTAGCACATTTGCTTTTGCTTTTGAAATTTTTTGTAGTTTTAAAGGGATGTGCTATAGAATCTACTGTCGAACTCAATTCTGAATAACATTCATTCAAATGATAGCCTCAGACTCTCTTCATGTGCTTCTAACTCTGTGGAATGCATATACACACAAACATACACAAGTTTTAGTATGAAACTCAATACCCATTCATTCATTTACTCATTCCACAAACAATCACTGATCACTAACTCTAGATCAGACTCACCACTGGGCACTATGGATATGAAAATAAATATAATACAGTTCCTGTCTTCAAAAAATTCACAGTTAATATTGAAAACAATGGCAAAATTTGAGTTGGGTTTATAATTTAGTTAATAGTGTTATACCAATGTCAACTTCCTGTTTTTGATAATTATGCTATAACTACATAAAATGTTAACATTAAGGTAACATTAACTCAATGTTAATATTAAGGTAACATTAACTCAATGTTAACATTGAGTTAAAGGGCATACGGGAATTTTCTGTACTATTTTTGCATCTTTTTCTATAAATCTAAGATTATTTCAAATAAGAAGTTAAAAAATCACAGTCTAAAACGTATATCAATGAATTACCTATCAAATTCCCATCAGTGCAGTTTCAGAATGGTTTTCAACTAAGAAATCTTATTTGCCTGATTGAGTACTATCAAATTTATTAGCACGAGAAGTAACTGGGGATGTGGGAAGGATGGGTTTTAGAGTAAGATAGGTCCGCATTTGACTCTAAGCCCTTCTCATTATCATTCATGTTATCTGAGCAAGTTAAGTACCCTCTCTAAGACTTAGTTTCCTCATTTGTAAAATTGTGATAATAATATTTATAAGAACTCCTTACAACATTCATGAGATTGGCTTGAGACTGAGATGTGGTAAACTATTTTAAGGTTAAATAAACAACATACATAAAGTGCAGTATGTAGATAGGCAAAGAGTATTGAACTTCAAACGTCCATGCACACCCCTGACACTTGGAGATGCTTATTCTCCGTTCTTCAAGCTGCTTTTTCATGGGGAGAGAGCACTGTTAGCCTAATTCTTCTGCCTCTTACCGCCACTCCAGGGGAGCTAAGCTGACTTATCAGGTAGAAGAATTGGGAATGAGGAATTGGCCTGCAGGACCCATCCCAGGGAAACCCACATCCAATGCTGCTGATATGAACAAGGCTGCCCTAGTGGGTGAGCAAGTCTGTTGGGAACTGGGTTTCAGGATTGAAGCTTTGTGAACACTCTTCAGTAATAGCTTTATCAGCAATCAAGGTGATACTGTGACCCCCTATCTGCCTGACTCTTTGGTTGTGATTCTCAATTGGTTCAAAATTCAGTAGGAAAGAAAAGAAAGTTGTTTGTTGTTGTTTTATCAAGCCCCTGAAAGACCCCAACAATCACCAGATACCTAGTTCTTTTCATATAATAAAGATCTCATTTAACTATAGATACATTTAAAAAGGTACATCATTATGGCTTTTTATTTTGTCACTGTTTGCTCTTCATTTACCTGACACAATGTTCAGAAATGACGAATAAGCTGCTTTCCCTTGTCCAGTATCAGCCCACAAACCCTGGTATTATCAGCTTAATGGCTTAAACCAGGCTGGATTAGACAGACATGGGAACCTCTCTGACTCCCACTTAATCACCTCTGCACCCCAGGATGTGGCAACAGTCACTTTTGGTTGGGGGCTGAATTGGGGTGCACCATGATGAGTAGAGGTGTTTTCTCTGCAAAGTCATACCACCTCTCAGTTCATTGGATCACAAAGGAGTGAGATTAGAAATCTGGGAATTGAAAGTGACCTTTGTGGTTTGTTTTTAAAAATCTTCAATTTTTCAGAGCCATCAGTTTCACAACAGAAAAGTTTTAAACCCCATATAAAAATAGGATTTCAGTTCTAGGCTGGAAATGTGATCCTGGGAATGTGTTCAACTGATTTTATCTTTATTCAGATGTGATTTATTCATGAAATTTACCATGGCCTAGAATGAGCAAAACAAAACAAAAAACAAAAGCAAAGACAAAGGCAAAAATAACACCTCATTTTTAGAAGCTAAAATCAGTCACAAAAGCCACATAAAAAAATACAACTATGTTATTTACCAATGTTCCCTTAAGCATTCACTCAGGCTCTATTTTGGTATTAAGCATGCGTTTAACATGCTTGTCATCTGCTTTCTCATTATGAGCAATAGCTGGATGAGAAGGAGAATTCTACAAGCAGACAAACTATAATAATAGAGAAAACTAGACAGCAAAGAATGAGAAACTAGAAAAAGTAACTCTGATACACGTTAAAACTCTTTGGGACAATTTAAGGCCAAAGGCTCAGATATCTTAAGCATCCCAAAAGAAGATCTATCTATCTATCTATCTATCTATCTATCTATCTATCTATCTATCTATCATCTATCTACAATATCTACCTGTCATCTATTATCTATCATCTATTTATCTATTATCTATCAGCTGTCTTTTATTTATCATCTATTTGTCTATCATCTATTATCTATCATCTATCTACCCATCTGTCATCTATCTTCATAAGGATGCCATTGAGTTATAAAGGGTTAGAGTGTGATTACCTCTCATACCCCTTTTTTTGAGGATGAGGAAGCTGAGACTGGGATAACAGGACATAGGATTATGAACAGGAGAGATGGATATGCCTCAAGTAACTGAGGCTTTCTGTGAGTCTTATTTTCTTTACCCTTTGAATAAGAAGCAGATGATCTGTACTATTTCTCCTAGCTAAAAAATTACTGAAGTCTGGAAAAAATCATCGGTGTCAGAACTGGATAAGTCTTATAACTTAGCTGAAAGAGACTATTCCCTATCAGAAAAATAGATGAACCTATAAAATTCAACAGGACCTTTTACAAATGTATTTGCTTCCAACTGGGAGCACATTTTAATTTCAATGCAAATAGTAGAGTGAAACAGATAAGCTACTTTATAACTCTAAGACTCAGTTATTTTTTTATCTGTAAGATGAAATTAATAATAATAATAAGTACATATTACAGGCAATGATGAATGAAACAATGCTAATTAAATGTTTACCATAATTCTCTCATCATTGTCATCATCATTATCATAATCAATATAACTTTCTTCCCTCATCACTGTACTAGAAAGCCACAGGCGCTTTCAATCTTTTATAATCCAGTTGACAAAGACACATGTGGGCAAATGCCAAGTATTTATTAGAAGCAATAAATTTTCAATCACATAATAGACAGAGATATTTATGTACAAGCTCTCTCTTAGATTTCTTATGGAAGACTGGGTTTGTGTTGTCCTCTGAAAGTCAGGGGATTTGATTAGAAGAAATATCAGGAAGAATGATTTTTGCATATAAGTAAGAACTATACAAACTATGAAAAAAATAATATTTAGAAGACAGGGAGAAATGAGATTGCATCCATTTTTGACATAATGAAAATGTCTCCTCTCATGTATTTTTGATGAATTTGCCTCTTAAAGTTTATTAGAGGATCAAAAAATAGAATTGAACTGAGATTAAATACTTTTTGCAAAAGTAACCTGTTTTCTCTGAAAATCAATTCTCTGTGTGTGAAAAGAGTAAAACAATTATTTTTTGCAAAGCAGTTTTGAGAATATCTATGACTCAACTAGCTCAAAAATTTTTATACCTCTATTATGGAGGTATACCTTTTTTATACCCTTC